GAAATGGAGCTCGTGTAACAAAATACAGGTTGCTTGATATGTGTTCACATTACATTATTTCTCCTGATAATTTGCCATTAGATTATCCAAAAACCACTTTTGGGCATGTTGGCTCAGGCCTATAATCCAAACTCTTTGGGAGGCTAAGGTGGGAGGATTGTGACAGGCCAGGAGTTTGAGATCAGCCTGGGCAATATAGTGAGACCCTGTCTCTACAAAATAAAGAAATAAATAAAAAAGGAAAACGAAAAACAACTTTGCAAATTTGTTCTTCTCTCCTAATACAAATATATTTTTATGTCAGAAGAAAAGACTATAGCTAGGTGTGTTTTTTTTTCTTTCATTTTTTAGGCATACCTCTTAACATCTCAAGAACACTAAGATTTCTTAGAAAATATTGTGGAGATTGAAATCCTGTTCCTCAGGTCAGCATCCTTCCTTGCAAGTTTTTCTCACAGTTCCAGAGCTCTTTAGTTTCTCCATGTAGAGAAGTGATTTAGCTCCTAACATGAATAGCATTGCATTAGCACTTGATTATATCCTGTTTTGAATGTAGTCAGCATTTTTTAATGGTAATGTATTCTCACCACCTAGAATTGCAAATGTTTGAAGAGCAAGGAGTATCTCATTTTTTTGTTTTTCCTAATATGTACAGCATTACAGCATAACTAGGCAGAAAAGTTGTCCAATAACTTACCTGACCTGGATCATTTAGACCCTTAGTGCAGTTACTTATACATAGTGTTTTTAATCCCAAAGTGAGAACAGCATAACCCTTTACCCTAGAGCCACATTGGAATATGAACACTGAGTGAGCAAGATTATATTTGTGTCATTTTAGGGTTCAGTGACTTTCACAGATGTGGCCATAGACTTTTCCCAAGATGAATGGGAGTGGCTGAATCTTGCTCAGAGAAGTTTGTACAAGAAGGTGATGTTAGAAAACTACAGGAACCTAGTTTCAGTGGGTAAGAGTATCATCCTCCTTTTGCCTCCCCATGACTCAGTAGTCTTTTATGCCATTATCAGAATTTCCCACAGTCTTCCACAGCATAGGCAATTTTTATATGTTTTTTTACATGCAGGTCTTTGCCTTTCTAAACCGGATGTGATCTCCTTATTGGAGCAAGAGAAAGACCCTTGGGTGATAAAAGGAGAGATGACCAGAAGCCTGTGCCCAGGTAAGTGCAGGATACCTAGAGATAAAGGAACTGTTCTCAACATGTTCTTCTCTCTGAAATTTGTTGGAAAACACCTCTCAAACTCCCTCCCAAACTGAAACTTGTCTTCTAACACTAGTTTTTGAATGGTTATTCTCTTCCCTACTGGTGTAACATACCTCCTTTACCTTTACTGATTTCTTATGCATACCAGGGTCTATTTCTGAGCTCTTGTTTTACTGATATTTACCTAATTCTACTCAAGCACCATATTGTTGTCATCATCCCTGACTTCAGACATTTCTGAATCCTTTAGACAAGCTGATGTTTAGTTTTTGGAACTGGTTTAAATATTTTCCTTTCTTTAAAAGGTGAGTTTATTGAGTTAACATGTATTATATCTATTTTCTTCCCTTTGCCTTTTTCTCTTTTGTATTTCTTTTGTTATTTATTCTTGTTTTGTTGTTTATTAAGTCTGTTTTTTCTCACTCTCTTCTTTATACCACCCCACCCTTTGAATTAGAAAAGTTTTTAGTTCTGTAAGTTGTTACCTTTATGTCTTTATATATTTTAAGATCATTTAGAATTTTTCTGCTTGATATTCCAGACATTATCTTCTGCTACCCTTACAAAAGATGAAGAAATTAGCTCATGAATATTACTTTCTTTCCCTGTGTACGTCATTTCCCCACTTATATTGTGCTCACTGGGATTTTTGACCCAGGGTATTTTATTCAATTTTTTCAAATTGCCCTTGCTTTGTAGCTGTTTTACTGATTTAGAAAGCTAGATAAGAGACAACAGAAATATATTGCAAGAAAATGAACCTCAAATGAGATGGTTCTGGTTTAATCTGTGGCCTGAAGCATAGACTTTTCCTACTTTCAGTTCTTCATTTTGTTTTATTTTATTTTACTTCTTAAAATTAGAGACAGGACCTTGCTATGTTACCCAGGCTGGAGTTGAACTTTTGGGCTCAAGCAGTACTCCCACCTCAGCTTCTTGAGTAGCTAGGACTACAGGAATGCACTACCATACCTGGCCCTACTTTTCAGCTCTTACAGTTCCAAGAAGAGGATTGTGGGTTACTTGTGGTCCTAACTATGTACGTTAATAAATAAGAAATAATGAAAATCAGTAAACATCCAATTCACAATATTAGAAAAAGAACAAAATGAATTTAAGGAAAACCCAGATAAGTTATATATAGTGATTTATACTTCTGCAAATAAAAGTAGGGATAAATGAATTAGAAACAGTAGCGCTACTGAAAATTATAAAGTTTTGTATATACTTCATTAGAAAACCAATACAGTATATAAACTGTAAGGACAAATGAGAGGAAACACAAAAACAAAATAATTATAAATAACCACAGATGCATAAGAACTTAAAAAGAATCATATGAATCTATTTTCCTCAGCTCTCCATAAATAATTTGAAAAAATAGATGATATTCTAGGAGAATATAATAATATAGGTTACCATAACTGATACCAAGAGGAAATACAACATTTAAACAAGTAGGTTACCATCAAAGAAATGTAGAATATTGTATAGGAACTGCCTCCCCCAAGAAAAGAAGCCACATCCCCAAATAGTTCTTTAAGGAAAAATATCACCAATGTTGTTTCAATTGTTCTGGGATAGAGAATAAAAAGGAGAGCTTAAAACATTTTCATTTATGAATACAGCGTATCCTCTGATACCAAAATCTACCAAAATAGCACCAAAAAGGGAAATTAGAGACAAACCTCAATTATCAATATTGGTTCAAAATCTTAAAAGGTCATATTGAAATAGTATACCATGACCAATGAGGATTTATCATAGCAGTGCAAGGATGGTTGTATCACCTAATCTTATATAAGAACCATAAAAACATGTACCTCTGCTTGTGGATTTCAATAACTATGTGATTAACATTTTCATTTTCGAAGTTTCCATTCTAGCATTTAATAAAGGAGACATTTGCTTTCTTAATATCTTTCAGACTTGGAGTGTGTGTGGGTGACAAAGTCATTATCTTTAAACCAGGATATTTATGAAGAAAAATTACCCCCGGCAATAATAATGGAAAGACTTACAAGCTGTGACCTCGAATGTTCAACATTAGGGAAAAACTGTAAATGTGAAGACTTGTTTGAGAGGGAGCTTGTAAACCAGAAGACACATTTTAGGCAAGAGATCATCACTCATGTAGATACTCTTACTGAAAAAAGAGACCACTGTAACAAGTCTGGGACAGTTTTTCATCTGAATACATTATCTTATATAAAACAGATTTTTCCCATGGAAGAGAGAATGTTTACTTTTCATACAGATAAGAAAAGCTTAAAAACACATTCAGTTGTGAAAAAACACAAGCAAGACTGTGGAGAAAAGAAACTTTTAAAATGTAATGACTGTGAGAAAATATTCAGCAAAATCTCAACCCTTACTCTTCACCAAAGAATTCATACAGGAGAGAAACCCTATGAATGTATTGAATGTGGAAAGGCCTTTAGCCAGAGTGCCCACCTTGCTCAACATCAGAGAATACACACAGGAGAAAAACCTTTTGAATGTACTGAATGTGGGAAAGCCTTCAGCCAGAATGCTCATCTCGTTCAACATCAGAGAGTTCATACTGGTGAGAAACCTTATCAGTGTAAGCAGTGTAATAAAGCATTCAGCCAGCTTGCACACCTTGCTCAACATCAGAGGGTCCATACTGGAGAGAAACCCTATGAATGTATTGAATGTGGGAAGGCTTTTAGTGATTGTTCATCCCTAGCTCATCATCGAAGGATTCACACTGGGAAAAGACCCTATGAATGTATTGACTGTGGAAAAGCTTTCAGGCAAAATGCTTCTCTTATACGTCATCGGCGATATTATCATACTGGAGAGAAACCGTTTGACTGTATTGATTGTGGGAAGGCTTTCACTGATCACATAGGACTTATTCAGCATAAGAGAATTCATACTGGAGAGAGACCTTACAAATGTAATGTGTGTGGGAAGGCTTTTAGCCATGGCTCATCTCTGACAGTACATCAGAGAATTCATACAGGAGAGAAACCTTATGAATGCAATACCTGTGAGAAAGCCTTCAGCCATCGTGGGTCTCTTACTCTTCATCAGAGAGTTCATACTGGAGAGAAACCCTATGAATGTAAAGAATGTGGGAAAGCTTTCCGGCAGAGCACGCATCTTGCTCATCATCAGAGAATTCATACTGGAGAGAAACCTTATGAATGTAAGGAATGCAGCAAAACCTTCAGCCAGAATGCACACCTTGCACAACATCAGAAAATACACACTGGGGAGAAACCTTATGAATGTAAGGAATGTGGTAAGGCCTTCAGTCAGATTGCACATCTTGTTCAGCACCAGAGAGTTCATACTGGTGAGAAGCCTTATGAATGTATTGAATGTGGGAAGGCCTTTAGTGATGGCTCATATCTTGTTCAACATCAGAGACTCCACACTGGCAAAAGACCATATGAATGTCTTGAATGTGGGAAGGCATTCAGACAGAGGGCATCCTTGATTTGTCATCAGAGATGTCATACTGGTGAGAAGCCTTATGAATGTAACGTTTGTGGGAAAGCCTTTAGCCATCGTAAATCCCTTACTGTACATCAGAGAATTCATACAGGAGAGAAACCTTATGAGTGTAAGGAATGTAGCAAAGCCTTCAGCCAGGTTGCCCATCTTACTCTCCATAAGAGAATTCATACTGGAGAAAGGCCCTATGAGTGTAAAGAATGTGGAAAAGCGTTCAGGCAGAGTGTACATCTTGCTCATCATCAGCGAATTCATACTGGAGAGTCATCAGTTATTCTCTCCTCTGCCCTCCCATACCACCAAGTCCTGTAGATTCAATCTTGTAAATGCTTCTAGAATCCATCTGCTTTTTTCCAGCACATGTTCCATCATCATAGTCCAAGACGCAACCATCTCATCTGGATTTCTGCAGTAGCATAACTGTTGCCCCTTTTGCTCCTATCAAGTACATGTTTAACACTGTAGGCAGCCTAACCTTTTAAAAATAAAAATATATATTTACTTTCCCATTTAAAACCCTTGATTTGGAAAATATATTAATCCATTTCAAGGGTTTAGCACACACTAGCATATAGTTATTGCTAAATAAATGCTAGCCATTAAGGTAAGGTTTCCTTACAAACTGTCATATTAAGCAGCAAGTAAACCAAACCAGTAAGTCAAGACTAAGACTTTAGAGCAGACAGAAGACTAGTCTGATAGGAAAGATGAACACACTCAGAATTGAAAGATGTATAGTACACAAGGTAACATGGTGGCTTATCACTCCCTCTGTGGCATTGTTGAGCAACTCTCACGTGACCTGACACTGAGAAGAGAGAATCAGTCAATTAGAACAAAAGCTTTTAGCTGGGCACAGTGGCTCATGCCTGTAGTCCCAGCACTTTGGGAGGGCGAGGCAAGCAGGTTGCTTGAGCTCAGGAGTTCAAGACCAACCTGAGCAACATGGTGAAACCCTATCTCTACAAAAAATACAGAAATGAGCCAAGCATGGTGGTGCACACCTGTAGTCATAGCTACTCAGGAGGCCGAGGCAGGAGGATTGCTTGAGCCCAGGAGGTAGAGGTTGCTGTGAGTCATGATCACACCACTGCAATTCCAGCTGGGGAGCAGAGCCAGACACTGTCTTAAGGAAAAACAAAAGAAGAACAAAAGCATTTGGTAGAATGTAGGACTAACCAGGGTGGTTAGCATTAAACTAAAAGTAACAAGCCAAAAAAACTTGAATAGATTAATAGCCATGAAACAAACTGAAAAGGGTAATTCAATATACCACCTTTATAAAAGTACCACAGACAATTCCTGTGGTAAAATTATTCTAGCATAAAATAAAATGCAATAAGACCTTCCATCTTGTTCCATGAGATTGACAAGACATGCCAAAACATAAAAATAGGTACACTGCAATTAATTTCTGAATGTAGATATTACAACTTAAACTTATTTTTAAAATATTTAAAAATAGGAAGGCTAGACATGCCTCTGTATAGAAAGGCTGATAAAAATATTTCTCCCTAAATTAAATTTGTAAGTTCTTTGATATTCCAATAAAAATTTTCATATATTTTTTAGTTGAAAAGCTGATTCTGATCATCTGTAGAATTTTGATTTTAACAAGGAATGTAGTTTACACTGGGAATGTAGTACTAATACTAACTGAACATTTGCTAATGTGTCACACACTGTTTTAGGTGCTGGGGGATACAATAAGGTACAAAATGGACAAAAAAACGTGCTCTTACAGATCTAGTAGAACAGAAAAAATTAAATGCATGCCATGTGATAAATATATGATATGACCCATAAAGAGAAATGATTTAAAAAAGAAGCTAGGGAGTGCTGGATCAGGCACCTTACTGTCCCCAGAACATGTGGGTATTAGAGGATGAGGGAAGAACTAGAGGTAACTGCGAGACACAAAAGGCATAATGAAAATAGTCATGATAGTCCGAAGGCAGATACTGTTTATGATGCTTTGAGTGTTGGAGGAAGGGAGGACTAATGGTTTCACAGAGATCATGGCAGTTATATTCACTTATATAAATGTTGATTTAGAAGCTGGTGGAAGGGTATTTTTTGAGTGACAGCTTTATTGAGACAAAGCAATTCTGGAGAAGAACACCCATACCCTGTCCTCTCTATCCATCAGCAGAAGTGAAGAGGGAGCCCCAAAGCTCCACTTAAAGTGTGCATCTTACAGCTTTTAGTTCATTCACAGGATTGTGCAGCCATCACCGTCAGTTTTAGAACATTTTCATATCCTCAAAGAGGAATCCCTTGTCCTTTTGTAGTTACGTTCATCCCTGGAAGAGTACTTTTTTTTTTTTTTTAAACTGAAGCACCCAGAGCTCTTGGGTTCCCTCTTAACTGCTTTCTGTGGCAGTATAGAGGGCTACGTGAGGGAAGCTCTTATCCAGAGTACATGACTGCTAGAGAATGGAGCTTGGGGCTCCCTCTTCACTTCTGCTGATAGAAATATAACAGCTAGGGGATGGGTAGCCTCACCAGAGAATGTGGAGTTTCAGACTCCCCTTATATATGATAAAAAGGATTTTTCATTGTAGTGGGGAAAAGGTGGTTGGATTAAATGGCATTGGGAAACTTAGCTCACTGGAAAAACAGATCTGTACCTTTCACACTAAGGTACAGAGAGATTAAAGGCCTGAGAGATTAAAGGTCTAAATGTAAAATTAAAGTACATGAAAAACAGAATAATATTTCTGTACCCTTGGTTTGAAATAGACTAAGCACTAATGCATAACCCCAAAGCTGATATTAGGCTTTCATATGGTGGAAAACATCATAGTCAATAGGTAAATGAGAGATTGACACAAAGTGTTTGCAACAAATATAACAAAGGACTGTAATTAATGATATTCAAAGTACTATTATAAACCAATAATCTGCAACTTAGAGAAATGGACAAAGCTAATGGCCAATTCACAAAAGATGAAATAAAAGCAGTTAATGAAAATTATCCAATATCACTAGAAATCAAGGAAATGCAAATTAAAGTGATTATTTAACTACTTTTCCCCCAAAAGACTGATTGAGTGATAACATTCGGTATTGGTGAATGTGTGGAAACAAGGGCATTCCATTGTTGATTATATATCTATTGCTTTATGTATATACCCTTTTAATTAATATTCCTTGGAAACCAAAATATACAAAGGTAGGTAAATGTATTAGTGGCAAAAAAATTAATGGTAAACTATTAAAATTACCTAAGTGTCCATCAGGGTAATGAATAAATTAATTATGGTATATATCCATTCAATAGGAATTACGCAGCTGTTGAAAAAAATACCAATTTGTATAGTCATTGAAAGATAGCTGTGCTATACTCAATGAAAAATTGCAGACCTGTATTGTAGTATAGACCCACAATTGTAATATCGAAAATAAAAAATCAAAATACATATTATAGTAGGCATCTGTTTTTCTCTGCCCAGTTTCCCTTGCCTCCTCCTTTTGGCTGCACTATCTCATCTTTTCCTTTTGAGTAACTGGCCATACCCTACCATATGTTTCTGATGGATGTGGCCAATAAAATCGTCTCTGAATTTCAAAAGGCATTTGGATCTGTGTCATCCAATGGCAACTCCCTAAAAGCTTGATGCAGTTATTCTTTTGATTGGTCCTGGAACCACCCTGGTTTTTGTACTTTCTAAGTCTGTGATTGCTCGAACTACCCATTATCTTTCTGGCACTCGATTTTTGCCTCCTGTTGGTCAGTTGCTTGCAAGTAAAGAAACAATCATACAGAATTTGGTATGAAAATTGGGGTACAGGCATTAGAATCTTTGAAAAATCAGGTATTGGGAGTTGATTCTTGGATGAGATGGGGCAAATAAGACTTATTTTCTAGACTGGAAAGCATCTCATGGTGTGCAATGAGCAAACACCTGATTATTATTCATTATAGTCACCTGGGATGAATAGAGGTCTAGGGTTCTGGATAATGACAATTTAAAGAGGATGGAGAATGCTGAATCCAAAAGTTATATGTAATACTGGTATCTCACTGCTTTGAATAACTTAAAGTTTAGCTCTTGAATTTCTAGCATTAAGGCAAAAAAATTAAACTAAGGGATTTTGTATGATATTGTTGAAAGTTGTCTTACATTGTTTAAAGTCATAGGGTTAAGATGACTCATAACCAAATTTAGAGACTGTTTTTATGCATTGTTAAAGTGGAATGCTGGTTAAATTTTATACTTTATTCGCAAGAGTCACTGTGAATTCAGTTCTGAATTGTGTTCCCATCAGCACCACCAAATGCTGGCCTCTACCACCACCAAATTTACTTGTGAAGTCCTAAACCCCAAAGTGACTGTATTTGGACATAAGGCCTTTAAGAAACTAAGGTTAAGTTAGGCCATAAGAGTGAGGCCCTAATCCCATAGGACTAGTGTCCTTATAAGAGGAAGAGACAGCAGAGCTCTGTCTCTCTACATGTGCACAGAGGAAATGCCATGTAAGGACACAACAAGAATGCTGCCATCTGCAAGCCAGGAGGAGAGACCTCACCAGGAACCAGCCCTTTCAGCCCCTTGATCTTGGACTTTTAGTCTCCAGAACTGTGAGAAAATAAATGTTGGTTGTTTAAGCCACCCAGTCTGTGGTATATTGTTATGGCAGCCTGAACTGGTTGATGCAATTACCATATAATTTATTGTCCAAATTGGGACATTTTTGAGAGTGAAAGGGATAGCTAACTGCACAGGGCACTTAGCAACAGGTGTTCATATCCTCAGCAAAGCAGGATATATGGTCATACTTCTTGTGTAGCAGAATATTGAATAGAAAAAAATATATTTTTTTCTCTACTATTGGAAAGGTGATATTGGAGATGATCTGAAGGGTTGGAACATACTGAACTTCCGGATTCGTGTGATATACCACCTATTAACATCTATTTGCATAGGTACATATGGCTGCCCTGAAGAGACCACTAACAATTCATCTTATTCCCCCATTCCATTGTTGCTCACATGGAATAACAAAGTAAATTTAACATGACCATAAAATTAAATGCAAAATCAGGCTGAGCACAGTGGCTCATGCCTGTAATCCTAGCATTTTGGGAGGCCCAGGCAGGAGGATAATTTGAGACCAGGAGTTTGAGACCAGCCTGGGCAATGTAACATGACTCTATCCCATCTCTTTAAAAAAATTAAAATTTCCAGTCCTGGTGACACCTAGCTACTCGGGAGGCTAAGGCGGGAGGATTGCTTGAGCCCAGGAGTTTGAGCCTGCAGTGAGCCATGATCACAACACTGCAATCCAGCCTGGATGACAAAGCCAGACCCTGTTTGAAAAAATACATAAAATCATACATACATACATACATTAAAATAGGGCAAAGAGTAACTGTATCTTAGAAGAATTTTCAGCAGTTAGTTTACTAGTGTAGATTAAGAAAAATCTGGGGCATTTGTGAAAGTGAAATTTGAGGAGGCTGAATATATTGACAAAGTGGCTTGAGTAGCCTGCCATGGTTCTAAGAATTTGTTGAACTCATCCATGTACCAAATGCTGGTCTCTAATAAATTACGTTATAAGGCCAGAAATTTCTTAACATAATGTAGAGGATGTTGTTCAGACTTCAAAAGGCAGGAATGCTGGATTGGTTCTTGTGTTGCAACATCAGGTCTCCTGACAAGGGTCCGGAAGCCCATACATTCATTCCTCCCATGAGAAAAACACCGTTTGTCTTATGGATTTTAAAACCATTATACTGCCTCTCTGGCAGGTCAAGAATTCTATGTAGAGAGATTGTAATTGAAGGAGCATCTCTGATCAAAAGACGAATTGAAATGGGAATGACACCAAACTGCCCCGCCAGGTGAGCCTCCTCTGGGACTAATGTGACTTCAGAGAGAGCCTTTAACTCAGCATGGCGCAAGGGTCCTTGGGAAGGTTGTTTGGGGCCTTGGGGAGGCTTTTTGGGGTTCCTGGAGGCAGAAGCTATGAACAATTTAAAAATAAGATTTAAAAAATTCTACCTATAATAGCATCAAAAGGAGTTAAATACTTAGGAATCAACAAAAGTACAAAAGTTAGATTCTGAAAATTATAAAATATTATTGAAAGAAAATCCCATATTTATACATTGGAAGTCTTAATATTAAGACGGCAATGCTTCCCAACATTATTTACATGTTCAATGCAATCTCATTTCCTTTTTGTGGAAATTGACGAGCTGATCCTAAAATTCATATGGAAGCACAAGGGACACAGGATAGCCAAAACATATTTAAAAAGCAAAACAAAGGGACTCACACTTTCCAATTTTAAATCAAAACTGTAGTAACCAAGACTATGCAGTACTGGCGTAAGGATAGTTATAGAGATAAATGGAATAGAAATTAAGGTCCAGAAATAAACCCACACATCTATGCTCAATTGATTTTCAAGAAGGATGTCAAAACAATTTAATGTGGGATAAGAAGAGTCGTTTTGGCCAGGCGCGATGAGTCACGCCTGCAATCCTGACACTTTGGGAGGCCGAGGCTGGTGGATTGCCTGAGCTCAGGAGTTCAAGACCAGCCTGGAGAACGTGGCAAAACCCAGTCTCTACTAAAAATACAAAAAATTAGCCGGGTGTGGTGGCATGCACCTGTAATCCCAGCTACTCGGGAAGCTGAGACAGGAGAATTGCTTGAACTCAG